AAAAACAAGTTTACCTATAGAGCGTCGACTTAAAAATACAACTTTTATAATATAAGTTAATGATTTATTATGGGTACATAATATGTATAATAGACACATATAAAACGACTATTTTACTATTTCATGGTGTTTAGAAAAAAAAATTCACGTACAGTTTGAAAAAAAAAATAATTAAATTGAATTTTTAAATTTTTAAAATTCTACTTAGCTCTAGTTTAGTCAATTTTGGGTTTAGGACACAAGTTGATGCATCAAAATGGCTTGAAAAAAATCCATGACCCCGAATATGATATTTAAATTACGGGTTGCCTTTTAAAAAAATGTAAGTTTTATTGCGCGTGCGCAAAATAAATGAGTTAAAAACATTGTAAGTCACAGAAATGTACGATCCATTAGTCTAGTTTAATGTCCCGCAAACAGAATTGAAAAATATGTACATGGTAATAAGTGGTAAAGTGGCCCCTGATTTTTGGGRCACACGGTATATAAGTATAATAATGCATTAAAATTTAGTTACTAACATGTTTTACACATAATCCCGTTCAAAGAAAAAAGTATGAACTATTTTATAATAATTACATTATTCATTGATTAATATCATTGTTTTGCTAAATTTTTAGTTAAAACTGTCAAAAGGTAAATACWCTTTTTGTAATTTATGCACCAATAATCTAATTAAATATCAGAACATAGGTATATTTTATTTCTTTTATAGATCAAGAATATCTACGTCCTTTAATTGTTAAGACGTATAATAATTATTGAAAATAAAAAAATATTTTAAGGTTAAAGAAAAGATTATTTATCATTAATTACTAAAAATTAAAGATGACCTAAACAATTTAAACTACCTAATGTATATATCTATTTATAAATATAAGTTTAATGTACTAGAGTAGTTAATTAAAACTAAACCAGTTATTCCGAATAAAAAAATGATGATAGATTTTTAATATTCTAACTAAATTGTACAGTGAATTATGATATTTTGTGACAAAATATGATTTTTTAATTATTGTTATTGCTTACTTTAATATTGAAGATTGATCAAAATGGAAAAAAAAACAAAAAGTATAGAAACCTTGTTAAAATTTACATGAGAATATACTGTATTGATAATGTTTGATCAATATCATAATTATATTAAAAAGTATAAATATCATATTATAATATATAACATTACAAATACAGAGGAGGGAAAACAGGTAAAAGGAAATCTCTATAATTGGTCGAAAAAATTTTACACGCGTACCGTACAAAATACGCTACGCACCTCCAATAATGATATGTTAATTTAATTTWAATCATATAATTTAAATTTTAAACAAATTCTGCTAACTGACTGCTTAACATTATATTCATATATCGTGCTATAGTTATTCAAATAAAAACGATATGTACAAAGCTTATTTATGTGAATAGTCACACCCAACAAAATCAGCGGACATATGAAATGGCATATAAAATAAAACGACATTCCCTAAGTTTAATCCAATCGAGTTTAACGATCCGACCTCGTCCTCGATCTATGGTACAGTGAGACGAACTTAAATTGTCTGATCGTAGTGTTTTGTTATTATTTTTTAATTTGTTCTTAATTTAGTGCACCGAAGGAGACACCTACTGTTCCAGGTCGTCGATCACTAGTTGCTTCCAACCGAGACAGCTTTTGTTTACAATGGAGACAGACCACCGTGCAGGACGAAGGTCATTACTTGCGTAGGCTCTACCTATCATGCCAAAATGAAACACCCCACGGGTGCAACATTTCAAAAACAAAAGATTTGGTTTTAATTGTGTTTAACTCAATATAAAAATACAGTCAATCTAATTTACGAGACCAATTGCCGCGTCGTAGGAATAGTAATCACAAAAGTTCAGGTATATCACAGGTGCCTAATCAATTTAAATCGCATTATATAACGATTTATCATTTTTCTAAACTTAATATTTTTAAATTTTGTGATACGCTAAGTTTCTAAACTGTAATCAACCATGTTTCAGAAATCACGGTAATATATTCGCGTATGTAATAAATATAAATAAATAATTAGATAACTACTCTTATATAGTTGAGGAATTCAAACTAACGATTCAAATTGAATTAAATTTATAACTAATATAATTGTAAAATAATATCATAATGATATAATAAAAAACATAAAGCTCAATAATTAACTATCATTACCATTTCATGTRAATTATTGAATAAAAATATAAATTAGTTGAATGCAATTTAGAAATTATTTTTACTGCAAAATTACTTCGTGTTTATACTTCCGTTAAACTGCACCTATATAGCATGGACAGTATCACTATTACTAAACTTCCTCGAGGCTGAAATAAATTGATTGCTCATGTGTAAAACATGGTTTACTTAGATATTACGAACGTTTGAGGTGAAAGAGATGCTGTAATAGTAATATAATGCCTTGCTCATCAAAACGTAATTTTTTTGGTCTGACTAAGAATCATTATCTCACATGATTATGTCACACGATCATCATATGGCACAAAATTTATGCTTCGGATAATAATAATTATTATAATGACCATGAAAACAAATTGTAAAATCTAGTCTACTTATTTAAAAAAACTAAATATACGTATCTATTTAAACAGTATCTTTTAAATTAAATTACGGATCGTCAATTTTTTTCAGTAGTTAATAATATAATAATATCGTATAATAATATTAAGGTKTATTGATGGATCATAATTAATTACAGGTACATTATCCGTGTATAATCACTTCGGATACCAAAGTTCTATTCGTTCTGCTATTATTGTTTATAGAATTGTTTCAGACAACTTCTTTTTGGAAAWTCTTTTCRAGTCAATTATGCAATATAATATATATTTATTTTACATAACGCATATTCAATAGAAGATGAACATTATAAAATTACGATTATTTAWGTATCAATTGGAAATTATTAGGTATTACAATTTTTACATGACTTAAAAATATTATTAGGTAGTCGAAAATATTTTCTAGCTTAATCGATTCTGATCAAGTTAAATAAATTATGATCCAGTTGGTCAAGTTATTTTATCTCAACAATCTACAACTCTAAGCACGTGTTCAATTATGTAATAATAAATTCCTACGACTGTTTTTATTTCTCATTTTTACATTGAAACTGATCAGAAAAGGCACTACCTATATTACACGGAACAATAAAATAAAGTAATTAGAGAATGATCACATGTAGTATATTTTTAATTAAAAATCTTTTTAATTATTGTACCTATATGAGTATGATAGATGTATGCTATAGTTATACAACCATTGAATTTGCCCGATTAAAATTAAAAATATATTTATTGATAGGTAGATTTATAATATTAGATCTAATACCAAAATCAATGAAAATAATAGATGTATACTTGTTATAACTATTGACTTTTCCKATAAACTATTCTGCCTTCTAAGTCACTATAGAAAGTTATAATTTTGTATTCATAGTTCATAACATACGATTTGTCTTGCAATTCACCGAGTGAGTACATTACAAAYGAATAGGTACATCGTCATAATTTTGTTATGTTTTTTTTCACATGACGATTTACTTTTATGGTAACATTCTATTGTCATGCATCATGTGAAATGGTGAAAATATCGAGGTATGAGATGTTAAAATATTAAATGCTGGGGCCGTATGAAGATTTCTAGTAAGCAAATCTAATGGTACATATGTTATCACAGGTCATTAGCTTTACAAAATAATCATGTTGTTCAGATGGCAAGAAATTGAAAAGAAATCTTTGTAAACTTGGAAGAACAAATAGGTATCACTGATTTTTCACTTATGTAGGTATAGTTTAGTATCTTGTACCTATATATTTAATATTATAATATTATACTTGAATGTCACAACATTTAACTTATAATTTTGAATTATAATAATTATTATACAAATAACTCTTAGTAATTTCTATTGAAAAATTTAACGATTGTTTCACCAACAATTCATATACTGTTGACTATTAATTATATCAAATATAAGTACAATTTTAAAGTTATAACTTTACTTATGGTTATTTAAAAATGACGATTAACTTTTACTGGTTTAGTTTTTTTTTTTTTTTTTAATATAACTATAACTTCTCCGTTTGAAATTATCCAGTAGGTACCAATCGGAATTTTTTTCAATAAGCAAACTATTATGACCTTATGAGTAGTATCTTAAACTAGTTTAAATATAAAATTATTTACCAATGAGTAATGATAATTATTCCAAACTGTTTGGTCTGGAAATTAGCAATGCACTATTTAGACAAAGTTATGTAAAAAAAAACAACCAAAAACTCAAGTTAATAAATTTATAGATAAATTTACTGAGTTCTAAAAATTATTCATCAACTTTTCCAAGCTCGCAATTAATATCGTACTCAAATAGAATAATTCTTAACAAAATAATTATCTTGGAATATTGTTATATTTGGTGTTTAAACATATATTTGAAAAATTTAAAATAATGGGAAATAATAACTTCTATTTACCTACGTAATAACTATAAGGTTAAAACCTGCTTTTTGCACTTCCAACTGTTTTTGTAGGACCGTTATAAGGTCACTAGATTAAATTTAAAAACATTTAAAATGCAATATTTTCCAATTTCGGGGCATTTTTATGTTGGATACCTAGATACCAAAAAAAAAAAATTGTATTTTATCCTTTAAAACTTTTTCGAGATTTATAGGTGTAATATATAGGTACTTAATTATTGGAAAATTAAATTTCGGGCGTATTAAGATTAAATGAGCTAACAAATTTTTTATTCTCAAATTCAAAGCACTGGCCACTCGAATATTTTATGGTGTAGTTGCGTAAAAATGAAGATTGAACTTTAAATATTGTATTAAATAAGAGTTATATTTTTATAACCTAATTTTAATGCATTTTCAGTGCATCAATAATTGAGTAAAGCTAGTTTTGACGATCATTTATTGTGTTAAGTACACGGTGGGGCTATCTTGCGCGCGTTTTCACTCACTTGGAACATGCAGTAGAACAAATACGTCAAGTGGGCGATTCTAGAAGAACGTGTGGAAGAYTTCACATGGTCGGCTTGAGTCGAAAACATAATGGTTCCTGCAGTAACAACACCGCTATGACTATTGCGATCCCATTGGAAACAAATCGTGTAAAGTGCAGAGCAAGTACGATATACCACATTCACAGGTATAAAAATATTTCACTTGGCGGCAGAATTGCTTATAATAACCGACTGATGGCGATTTTATTATTATTACTATCGATGTATATTTTATAACAATGTCTAATATTTTATCGAAATATAAAATATGACGTGTTATTATTATAGTCGGTCGCGTGTGACTTACTGGCCCGCGGACAGAGAAAAGTGAAGTAAAATAGGTAACAAATTCGCGATCGGAGAGTTGAACGACGAGACACGGGTCTGACGGCGGCGGCGACGTGCGCGGGTGACGTCGTCGCGCGTACCAATATTATACTATACGGTTGTCGCGTGACGAATGAAAGCCGCAAACTCGCTGCGGCGGACCACCACACGCGGAACCGGTCCCCGCAGACTCGATCGCCCGTTCCCTCTACACGTCGTCGTCGTCCTGCAGCTACCGCCGCCGCGACGATGGAAATCGAAAGCGGAACTTCTGACGGCCGATCGCATCGCTATATTATTTTATAGCAATAACACGTATTATAATAATATCATAACCAGCGCCGGGGTATCCTGCACGACGTGTAACATGTCCGCGGTGTCGGTGACGATTTATTATTCACAGCAAAATGACATGCCAAATGGTATTTAGAAGTATAGGCACCTACTTTAGTGATCTCTACAACAGAATCTTTAAGCGATAGGATGTACGTCGTGTAATCATTCAAACGCATTGCTCCGTGCATAAAATATGTTAAATGTAATTTGAWTTACCTGAAAAATATCCTTAAAAATACCTTAAAAAAATTTGSAGTCACTGTAACAACTGAAAAAAAGGCGTATCTAAATGTGTATTAGAAAAGCTAAATGTAAATAAAGTTACGATTGTTCGTCGTTACAGTGACGATGTGGTAACGATAACTATTAGTATCTGACATMTATAAACCTGAGTTATACCTTATACTAGCGAGGTGCCTACCTAGTTATTATTGATATTTCACACATTTGATGCGAATCCGATTCGCCTTTCCCTCGTGATCATTTCGTTGCTCGTTACTCGTGTCCGGGTCACGTGCAGCTTAGAGATGTAMACCGAAGTGCCTTTTGTAATAAAGTATACTATATCAATTAATTATCATGTATGCCAGCTATTCTCTATCTATTTGATGCCATGGCCTGGTATAATATCACCAAGATGTTTGGCAATCCTTTGAATATGACAAAATTAAACAATGTTTATTCATTAATGGACCTAAAAAGAATCTGTGGCCCTCCATTTTGAAAATCACTAATGTACTATGTATACGTTTCAATGCAATTAAAAAAATAAATAAATTTATTGACATACAGTCAATTTCATTCGCATAATTTATTTGATCAATATACAACAAAATAAAGTAGTTTAAAAGTTASCAATTAAACTGGGTAACGGAGAGTTGAATTAAATTATCTCGTTAATCGTTATGTGTATTGAGTTATGCAAATTGTACAATTAATCCGATTCGATAAGTAACTTGTTCCGATAGGAATTTACATTGAGATGTATTTCATTAAATTGTCGATGACCTACCGTAGTGTCATGGAAATTTCAAATTCGGGATTTCCGTTGATTATTRTGGTGTAACCAACTATGTCGTTGGTATAGTCACTGGTCGCTATATAACCAATATACCGTCATCGTCAAACACGGGCATCGCCGTTGCCTTATTGAGGTCATACGGACCGCGGTATTTACCATTTTACCACAATCCGTAAAAAACAAACAGTGGTTTCCTTTTACACGATATATTCTCCGCGGAAGTACTAAGAKAGATTATCTAATGTTACGCGATTATCCGGTCATCGTTAAACTGTTGTCCATAAATAACGTCGATGAAATAAACGATTTTGAAAAGTAATTTTTCTTACGGACGGGACGCAATAAATACGAACAGTTTGATCTGCAGATAATAATCACGATGAATGATAACTTCATTATATATTATATTGACCRTTTCGAATGTCATAAATTATATCGTTTCTACTCGACTTGCAAAACTCATAATGTATTTACAAAATAATATATAATAATAATTACAGTAATATTATAAATATCAGAATCACGTCTATAGTATACATTCC